AAGACATTTAAATTCCTCCTAAATGAAGGAGGGTGGCATTCAGACAACCCCTCTGTTGCCCAGTAAGAATCATAAAAAAGGTAAGGGCTTATTTGAATCACAGTATGGAACTTACAGAAAGGAGTCTATTCTCCTTACTTTGTTCCAGTGTGTTCTGGTTAAAATACCCAGACTGTGGTCCTGTGAGAAGCCAAACACCTCCAGGGAACTGCAGAGCAAATTTAGAGCACTTAGCACTGCATCGAATCAGCTCCTAACTTAACAAGGGTAAGGAAGGAACTGAGGGAGGTTATCAAACTAAGAAGTGATAATCGCAAAAAATTGTAAAAAAAAAGTTTAAAAGCACAGTGGAACAGAATTCTCTGCTGTGCAAAAAAAGAGCAGAAAAATGCATTTTTTTTAATATAGAAAAGCAAAAGCTGAATCTCTTTGTAGCACTGCCTGCACTTTTTGTTCTCAACCCCAAAAACTGTGAGTAGACAAGTTAGTGTTATATTATTTAGAATATCAGGGAAGATATTTTTACCCTTGGATAAAACATTAAAACCTCTAAAGGCGTCACTCATTCACAGATGGGAAATGGAAAGCCTTCCTATCATGTGTTTTGGAGACAAAACCTTTTTTTCTGGAAATGCTGATAAGGAACAAATTCAAACTGGTCCTCATCCACCCGGATCATCTCATTAAAACAATGGTATCTTTTAAACCCTGTATCCTGAGCTATCGGTCAATTTTGATTGACACAAATATTTGTATTAGGGGTTACACACTGCAATTTACAATTGGGGACTATCACAATACTGTATGTTAATGTAATCAGTATTTTCATTTCATGAATTCATTTGCAGCATGACACTGCAAGGGTATTCTTACATATACTGAAGACACAATTGCTAAGTAGTTCAACAATTCTCCTTTAAGTGGGATTTTTTTTTATCTGATAAATTTTTAACACAATAAAACCACTCCTAGTTCTGTGTGCATGCTTTAATTTCCCACCTTTTAAAATGTTTAGACACTTGGAATACCTAACATACTGAATTAATCCACAAATATTTACAAGAAAAATCTATTTAATTTCTTTCTATAGTAACTACCACAGGGACTATTGTAATGAAAAATTTCCCATCTTAAAGAATTAATGCGATTACTGATATAGAGAAGAAATGTAATTTATATCATCACAAACACGTAAAAGATATAATCCCATATTCACAAAAAGAATCTTTATTCCCTCTTTTAATTCTGAGACAATACAGTCTTGCCTTGAGGAGAACAGAAATATTATGAAGTACCTTAAGCAAGATAATTGTAGGAGAAAAAAAGTACAATTGCATTATTGTTGTGCTAAACTGTGACATACTTAAAAAGCTAATTTCTTTTATTTTAATGGAATTTGGTGTGCATATCCTTTAATCTACTTCACTATTTCTTCACATTTTTACACACAAACACATGTGTGAAGTGTTTCCCATTATCTGTATTACCTGGTTTAATGAACTGCAATGAATTTAAAACAATTAAAAACATACTTGGCAATTCTATAAACTTCACTCTATTTATTAACTATTTTGGAACTAACTAAATACCTAGAATGTCACAAAAATGCACAGCAAATTAAAGACCTACTGCAACTCAAATATTATTCAAGAAGACACGATCAATATTTGATGAAAAAGTAACATTTGACATGAGTGACTGTCCCAAATTTTACCAAATACATTTCAACCAATCACAGTGCTGAACAATCTGCATCTATATCAAAAGCTAAGCAAACAGAAATGTATCCCCAAAATAGGACTTTCTACAGCTATGTCAGCTAAAGTGCATTTAAAATTCAGTACAGTCACCCTTCAATTATTCCTTTCAATTAAATAAATTTTAACCAAGAAATTAATCTACTGTGGCTGGGCATTTCTCTATTCCACAGAAGCAAACATTTTTTCATTCTCTTTTAAAAAGCAAATTTAACAAAACTACTAAGACAAAAAGGATGATCTAATTAGTACTAAGTAATATTTAAAGCTTTTATATATAGTACACTCTTACTGCTACCCTTAACTTCCAAGGCTTTATCCTCACTGATTTTGTTTGATTTATCTGGCACTACTGCTGCTTAAGCATGCAAATTCACATTCTCCATTCTTGTGTGCACCCAACATGCACAGAGGGAGTCAAACTGCAAAGAAAGTGTCCTGTGAGCTTTGATTTAATTACCTGTAACACACTGGGGTGCTCCAAGGCCAGCAGGGACAGCCCTGGTGACCAGAGGTCTCCAACACACAGACCCACACTTGAGCCAAAGGCTAGCAGGAAAACTCCCCAGAACCAGCAAGGGAGAACACCCAAAACTGTTCTAGGAATCTCTTACCCCTTTCTACCTGACAGTCAGTCCCCCTAGACAGCCTGAACCCTGAGCAGATGCTCTCCCACTCCTCACCATTCAGCAGAGTGGGACACAAGAGACACAACGAGCAATGAAAATGTCCTTTATTTATTTCCTTACAGTTCTACCTCCTGCTAAAGCACTGAATTACTAGGGCTGTACTAATTAAGTTTGTTTCAGTTATCTGAACAGATCTGACCAGCTAGTTATGAAAAAAACACCCATCTAAATTAAACAGTAATATTGGATAAAAAAATGTAGGTCACTGAAGAAACAAACCATCAACAAATATAGCCAGGTTTATTTCAGCATGAGGCTCTCTTTGCTCTCTGTTCAGCCCCCAATTCCTATATATCAAAGCCTTTAAGTACACACTGGCCTTAAACACATGCTTGAAAAAGCTTTGCCCTGTCAGAACCTTGCCTGGCATGCAGGACATTGGGGGCTGCTGGCAGTGTAATCCCCTGCAGTGAGCCTGCCCTCTTTTTCCAGTGTGTGTGACCTACTCTTGGAATTTATGTCCAAAACAAAAAGATTATGTACAAAAAATCAAATCCCATTGTGTCAATGTGATGATAATGCCCAGTACACAGCACCCTGTAAACTATGCTCCTAAAATGCCACTAAAAACAGAAGTCACACCTGTGAAAGTAACTGCAGTGCAATAAACACACAAAAGACACTTTAAACTAATACCTGCCAAAAATCAGTCTTGCAAATTTGTGCCACAAGCAGCCAATTCATATTACATAGCAATGGCCTACAGATCTTTCACATACATAACTTTTCTCCTTAGAACAAACTAATAAAATCTCTAATAGTCTCTAAGTTGCATTCATTTGGCATGAAAATGGTTTAAAGAGTTCAAGTCAGTTGTATTTTTTAAGGGACAAAAGTGTATCTAGGAAAGAAGTAACCCTTTTTCAGAAGCATATGTACTAATATGTTTTTTACCATCTAAAACTGAGAACAGTCCTTAAAAAAAAGTTTTTAGTTAATACCAGTGTTTTGGAGCCTCCCACTGGCAGCCATCACACAACTGAAGTGAACTATCAGCTGAATAGAGGGCTTATATCCAGCATCAATGACTATTTTGCTTTGAAAGAAATTAGTGTTTCTGAGTTTGTATTTTAAATGCAATTTAAAAGATCATAAAGGAAAGAATCCAGCATTTATTGTGTGTCTCCCAGCAGACTACTTAATGTTCAAACACCTACTATGCAAAGGTCAAATGATTTCACTGAATGTAACGGTGACAAAAGTATTCTGCAGCACTGAAAAAAATATCAGATGATCAAAGAAAAAGATCTGGACCTGAGATCTCACAAGAGTCACAATAAATAATGTAGATTCAGTTCAGTAAGAAAGAAAATTGCAAAATTGTGTCAGGAGAACCAGATTAAGAAAGATAATAGGTAAAATACAAATTACATACTTTTGGCAATGCTCTTCATAAAGGAGTATTTTAAAGTAATACAGCAAATGAATTTTTATAAAAAAATCCTCAAGTCTTTTTACATTAATACTACCTGCACAGAATTGGAAAAGAAAGCTTAGTCAGATGGGGAACCTCTAGGGTATTCTGCTGCAAGCAGCAACATGGATAGCTGCACTCAAACAAAAATCCAGTGTAAATAGTTGTGATAGACACAGGAAAAAGCTGAAGTGAGCACCCACTGAGGAATGGGAGGTACATAGGTAAACCAGAATGAAAAAATCAACTCAAATACTTGTCTGAAGCAAACAACAAAGGCTAACAGGCACCTTTTTATTTTCTATTTTGTTGTGGTTTTTCTTCCTTGCCATTTACATCAAATATTTTAGGTTCTCCTCCTTTCTACCATAAAGAAGCTCCAAAGTGCACCATGCACAGCTCTTGCTCGGGTCCTGGCTCTTCAAAGCCAAGATCTCAGCAGCAGCTACAAAGAGCTGGAAACCAGCCCAGGCATTGCCTATCTGCCCCCGTGGTGGGTGGGTTTCTATGCAGTTGATTTTGATGGTGATCAACTGCACTGGACCTGGGGAGATCCAGGAGATCACACCAGAGGAACACCAAGGGCAGGAGGCAGAAATGCAGCTGAGCAGCAAGTATAAAAACCAACAAGCAGGAGCAAAGTATGTGCAGAGAGAGGGAAAAAAAATGGAAAACCAAATGGCCAAAAAAAATTTCAAACCCATAAAAACAAACAAACAAACAAACAAAAGCCAAAAAAAAACCAAAAAGAAAACCAAAAACCCAAACAAACCAAAAACAACCCAACAACAACCAAAACACAGGAGACAAGGCAGTAAACAAATAAGAAACAAGACAAGGGAACAAAATATAAGGAATAAGGTAACCAAGAGCAAAATCACAAGGCAGTGGCTATTTCTCCTCTTTGCTACATTAAAAAAAAGTGAAAGGGGGTTTTTAGTTAGGTTTCTTTTCCTAATTAGACATATCCAATCATGTCTCAAGCAAGGATGGAAGATAAGGTGCTAAGCTAATATTACACCTGAATGGGACTTCTGTTTGTGAGCTCACACAAAAAAAAAGGAGAACAGTGTAGATATCACTAATTTTATATATTAATACAAGGTACATAATTTTAACCATTAAATTATGTTCAGAAACATACATACGTTTTTTCCTGTGCTCAACCAGCTCAATGGCCTGCTTTGCTGAGCATTTGGAAAACCAGTTGTCCCCCAGCAGAACAGTGATCTCATTGGTGTGGACAAGCTTTCCTGGCATGAAGGCAAGAGGACCAAAAGGTACCTGTCAAAGACACAGACATCACTAATGAAAATAAAACTTAGCAAGTCATACAGGTCTTAAATTTTTTAAAAAAGTAAACCACAGATTTTATAAAAATAAAAATTCTATAGCAGCTATTCAGTGAATAGCCCATCATAAATACTCAAATTATCAGAGCCATTTGAATTTTGTACTGTACTTACAAAATCTGAAAACTTGAATTTCACCAGACAACTTGTTTTGTGACACAGAACTATAGTACAGCTGAATGCTCACTTGCAAAACAAATTCACTTCATCTGAACATACAAACCTTGATAATACAAATTATTTGAGTTATATGCAGACTGCACCCATTTCCTAACAAAAGCCAGATTAGCTCTGCTAAAATTTTTTGAAATATTTAAACAGGTATGATCAACTCAAAGATGAGCTGCTCTTCTCAGAATCTGTCTTGCTAACAGCAAGTACCCAGAAATTCCAGTGTAAGACACTGGGGCTCCCAGCAGGACCACAGAATGTTTAATCTCACTCTGCTGGGTCATTCACCAGGCTGCAAACCTCAACCTCCAGGGACACTCCACACGTAACTCTCACCCTCTAACTGCTCTCCAGGCTAAGGACAACAGATAAAAGCAGGACACTGCAGGCAGGAGGACACAGGTGACAATCACATTTTAGAACTTTGCACCTGCTTCCTACAATGCGAATCCCCCATTTTAACAAGCATTGCAACATCCAGGACACTGGGTTTATGATTTAAGACATCTTCTACTGCCCAAATTTTACAGGCAGTGCTTGGGCAAGTCCTCTAGGTGAGGAGGAGCCTTGGCCACCCCTACCCCTGTCCCCTGACCCTGCCCTGGCATTGTGACCCCCAGGCCCACTGCCACCTGCCCGGCTGCCTCTGGGCTTCAATCGTGAAGAAATTCAGAAACTAAAACCAAATTACATCTAAAATGGAGGTGGCATGAAGTCCACATCCACATCAAGTCTCTCTCTTTTTAGGGTAAAAAGAGATCTATCTCAGATGGTTTTATCAGCTCCCTCTACTTTATTCCTTCCTCCTCAGTTCCTCAGCACAGCCACTTGCTTTCTCATTGTGTTTATGCTGAAGCACAGCACTTGGCCTAGTGGATCTGTCTCCCTGGAATGCAATCTTCCCTCTCTTCCATATCCCAGTGCTGGAAACAGCTCTCCAGCAGGCAGGACCCTGACTCTAAGACTATGCACAATGTGCTTTTCATACACGTGTGCCCTCCCTGACTTGGTTTTAAAGTAGCAGACTGCATGAGCTGCCTGTTCACTCTTCCCCCAAAATGATGAAAGCAAAATTAAGCAAAATTAAAAGCATATGAAAATATTTGGCTAATAGGATAGGAACTGTTTCTATACATTTAAAGTAACAGATGTGAGTTAACATTGCTGCTTCAACTAAGAATAAGCACTATCTAGCTTTCTTTAAAAACAGAGTTTCTATGCTTTGAAACAACACAATCTTTATGTCTTACATCATGTGGCCACACATACACACATGAGAAATGGACTCTACACAAAAACCAGAGCTGTATCACCAGCACAGCAATGGGAAATCCTCCCTTTTCTCACATGGTGAAGTGTACTTCAACACTGTCTTACTAAAAACCTAACTTTGAATCTAAGCCAGGCTGCCAAGAAAGACAGCAGTCAGGCACCGAGTGCTGAAATCAGCCACTCAGTTATATGCAGTACAACTTCCCTGTCTTCAAGGATGTATCTTGAGTTGAACCTGAGAAAGGAAGAGGAAAAAAAGAGAAAGAGAAGCCAATTTGTTCAAAATTTTAGTGAGTGCAAGCCAACAGGGCAAATTTTACACAGGGAGCTGTGCAGTTGTTAGGGAAGATTCAGAGCACCAGAAAAGATCGCTATGTCAATGGGAAGATTGGTGAAACAAAAATTAGCAGCACCTTTTTATGTAAAAATCAATGTTCTAGGGTTTATTTCCATGAATCAGGAAATACTACAGCCACTTGCTTCTCAGGAAATGACTAAGTACCATAATTCAGTCATAATTATCGTTTTCTATACAATAGATTTACATATCAAACATGTCAGGTTTTGTGTTAAGCATTTATGTCATCAGCTTTCAGTTGTCAGTAACACTGTAATTTATAATGGATTTCAAAGAAAAGAGAAAGAAACAAAAGCAAAGGTTTAACTATTATCATAACAAATGTAACATTACTAAGTACTGGCAACCTGACTAACACCTCACCCCCAGTGCAGGCAGCCCAGGTTTAACAGTTTTAGCCCATTTTCCTGTGTGACCTCTGCCATGTACATACCATGACATCGTAGGACAACTTGTCAGGCAATGTCTGCAGTCGCTCCTGAAGAGCCTCATAATCACTCTCCACCTTCTTCCTGTTGACAAATTCAAGTTGGTTCAATTTCACAGCTAAAGAGTTAATGGTTTTCTGCTACTAAATCAAAAAACACCAAAACTACAGAAAAATTAACTGTTTAACACATACAGTTGACAGATTAATAACTCATTTCTAAAAGACATGGGATGACAAACATAATAGCTAGATTATTTTCTAATAATGTGTATTAAGATAGGTAAATGATTATTTTAGATTGTGCATGTCTTGTTCAGAATTAGAATTTTTCATGGTGCAAAGAAGCAGTTCTTTCACTAGGATTTGGAGTACCTCACTCCATGTTCAAGCCCAAGTTATAACACCACCAGTATTTAGAAAAAGAACTGAAAATCCAGTTTATGCTTTTTAAGAGGCAAATTCTTCAAATTATCATTTGTAATACACTGCTCATACACTGACCTCGGTTTGAGCTGACATAAATGAGCAAAATTTTAATTAATTCTGATTTTCCCATTAACTTTGTATTCCTATCAAGAGTCAACACTCCTGAAAGATGGCTCAACCACCAGGATTCTGTCACATCTTCAAGCATCCCTTCTGATACTTCTCTACCTAAACTGTAAATAAGGCTCACGCTACGTGTTGCTACCCACAAGAGAAATGGTTTGGTGAACTGGGACAAGGAATTCATTCCCAAGGCAGACACCTGGCTTTCCACAGGACTTTGCAACAGTGTTTCAGTGGCTGCAGGGATTTTACTGTGTGCAAAAGCAACTACACTCCCTCTAAAAAAGCCTTTTTTTCTAAATGCATTCTTAAATACTTAAATTTGTCTGAAAAAAGTCTTTTAATGGACCCCTGCCATTCTAAAGATGGTCAGAAATCAGCTCCTCCATGAAGTAGCTGGCATATAAATGTCAGCCTTGATGATATTGTTTACTTGTACTTCAAAACAATAAACATATATATGGTAGTAAATTCTGCAATAAAAGGCAACTGAAAGCACAGAGCAGCACACTTAACAATGCTGACCCAAGATGCAAATTACAGGTTTTCTGAGGATGATTCAGGAAAGCAATCTATAAATGTGCTGAAAAAATGAATGTCATAGTTGATAACACAACTCTCAAAATATTACTATTGATTTTCTTAGATTCATAAGCAGAATGAAATCTTTTTCAGCATTCATTTTGAAAAATTATCTGATACTCTTATGTTTGACTCATTTGCTTCACAGCTGAACTCTGGTGTAACCACCCTACTTTATACCTATTTTAAGTTGTTGAACTCATCCTGAAAAAAGAATTTAGGTTTTTATGCCACTTGGACATTAAAACCAAATTCCACAGAACTGATTTACAAAAGATGCTTGCTGCTGCTTTGCTCTGACAGCAGATTTCTGCCAGACATTTTAGGCAAGTCTTTCTGTCCCTTGCCCACATAAGAGTGAAAACATAATTCACTTCCTTCAAAGAAGAAGGACAAACTCATGAATCTTAGCAAAATGCACTGAGATGTTTTGGGGGAGGAAGGAATATAATGGAAACTTGGTGTCAACAATAACAATCAATTACTTAATGCTATTTACAGAACCCAGCCTTTGCCTCAGGAGAACTGGATTTGAGAAATGGACTCCAAGCAGCCACTGAAGAACAAGGCCTGGCACATGTCTCAAGTGCAGGAGAGGACTCTGTGGGAAGAGCCTGGCATGAAAATCCCCCCCTCACAGCAGGATTAAACATTTCCATCATTTCATGGCTGAAAGTCACTCAACATTTCTTCATTAACCTGAAAAGAAGACACTAAGGTCTGATTGCTGTGTGTTACTGAATAATCTGATCAGGGCCAGGAGAAATCACTTGCCACAGAAGCTGTGCTACTATAGAAGCAAAGCATCCTGCTTTTTGTACTGGGACAGCTGCCCTTTGCTGAGCAAACCGCTACCATGGCCATCCCTAAGAGTGGGGTCACTTTCTGAACTGGGCCCTGCAGATAAAGGAAATTTAAATTGATCATTTTAAATAATTTGCCTCAAATAGCATTACTTAAGGAAGGAAGCTCTCTCTTCATGTATGGCTGATGCTTTCACAAGCACTGGCGTGTGCCAGTGCTACAACAAGCAATGAAGAACCAAAGGGAACAGGGAGGAGGAATACTGGGACTCCAGATCTGAACATGTCCCTGGAAGGGGAAATGCATGACTAGCCACTAATCCCACACCCAACCCATTACTGGATTCATGGCTTTAGAAATATACTTCAAAAAGTGCACTGAAAAATGGAAAAGAAAATAATTTAATGGAAATATACTGAAGCTGAGCATTTTAAGACCCTATTGTTATTCACCCAATTCTATTCAACATCCTTCTGTGTCACTGACTACTTAAAAGGTCTTACATGAGCAAATTATTCAGTTGAAACAAAAACACTCAGCTCTTGCACAATCAAGATCTAAATAAGAGTACTAAATTTTAAATTTTTTTTATGAAATAAAGATTGTATGGATGCTACAAAAACTGTTTTTCTATATAAAATAAATCAGTAAGTTATTTTTTTCATTAGAGGTTCTGTGGCCAAAACCCCCAAGTTCATGGGGTCATTGCCAGAGTTTGCATAAAAGCAAACACAGGAGCAACTCCTCCTTCCAACACCAACACTCCCAGGCCATTCCACAAACCTCAGCCCTTGTTAAAAGGAAAAGAATTGTCACAATTTTCCAAATGCTCAAAAATCTGTTCAAATTTTGCAGCTTTCTGCCAATAGTTTATTTCTGAAAAGCCCTGTCTGTGAGTGGAAGAATGCACATGCAGAATTTCACATGGGAGCCAGCAGGCACAGACACTGCAAAGCTCCTGAGAAACTGCTGGAGATATTCTGCCTGCCTTAACCACAGCAGCACCAGTAGGCACTTCAATATTTCCCTTATTGAAAATTAATGCAGCCTCTGAATTTTAAACATAAATGAAACATATTAGTTTTAGATTATTTTTGCGAGCCAATAGTCAGAACTTAATATGATGATGTGTATAGATTGCCTTGATTTTTTTCCTCTTATCCAGCGCTTGCAGCCTATGTGCATTTAAACTAAAAACATTTGATACACACTAAATATAAATTATTTGCTTGGAGATCTTTCAGGCATGAAGAAAAAGCCTCTTAAAATAAATTTAAAATATTATATGCTTGATGGTGTATAACCAAAGGTTTAATCTCACCACTAAAGGGGCAGTTGCTGTGATTCTGCAATAACCCTGCAGACAATAATCAAGACAGCTCCTGTTGTTCTCTCAGTAAAATCATGGTAAACACAGCATGGATATATTGTAATTTGATATCTGTAAGATCAACTGTTATATCTCACAGTAACTCATAATATAAGATTTCATTCACCATTAAATGTACATTTTCCTCAGATGTCATACAGAACTATTATTTACCAGGTATGTTTTCTATTAACCATAGATTGCCAACAGAGAAAAAATGCCCAGAGATAATTTTTTTAATATAAGAAAGCATTTATTTAAAGTATTAAAAATTAAGATTTAGCATGTACTTTGCTTTTGGGGGGGAGGGTATCAGCAAAACATTACTTTCCACATTGTTTCAGCACACAGAGGGGGCAAGTGGAATTTCCCTACTTGCTCCATAGTTAGAAAACAAGAATAATTCTACCCTGGGAGCACCTTGTCACCATTCAGGCAGATTAAGCACTCGTCCAACAAGGTTACTTGGGCAAAAGTGACAGATGAGATAGGTTTTTAAGGCAGAAGTATAAACACTGAGGCTCACTGTATTTGTAATTTAATTGTATCAGTGAGAAATAAATATATTTCAAGGAGAGTACATTGCAACAATTCTGAGCTATCACTAACTCTAATCCCCAAAACATGCTAGCAGGATTTGACTCCCATCAGAATAAACAGCAATACTTTACTCAAACATAACTAGGTTACTCATCAGTATTTTAGACATGTAGACTTTTTTTACTTACCAGTGCTGGATTTTTTCTTGGCAGCCAGTGACCACCTGTCATTAAAACAGATAACTACTCATGAAAAAAACAAAGCTAAGCACACAGCTGCAATGTCAATGCATCAGAAACTAGAACAGGAGCTTTACAGATGTGGTGCTGCCTCCATCCACATTTTTATTTGTCAGGGCAAAGGCGTGTGAATGGTCGTTCTTAAGCAGCACACTTTATCACAGGCTAATGCAGAGTGATAACCACAGGAAAAAATCACAGTTTTTCACTTCTTATTTCGGTACAATACCTGCTCCATAACTATTAGGTGACACAGGATCTGAGATAAGTAGCAGTTTGTGCAATCTGCCGATCTATTTTCAGTGTTACATGTTTGCAGAATAAGAAAACAACATAAATTATAACAAGACATCAATGTAACTCCCATACTCAGTCATTAAAAAGCAGAACAAATGAATCTCACAGCACCAAAAACATTTTTCCTCTATCAGTACATCAACAAATGTCTCCACTGGCCACTTTAGCTTGAAAAAGCCCAAATTAACTTTGTGCTGTGTAAATATGTAAGTATTTGACACCATGATGGGTTGCTGGCTTCTCTTCTTTCTGGGTGTCAAAAAAGGTATTTCACTTAATCCTTTATGCCACAGGCTTTCCTAAAAGATACAAAAGAATTTACAAAATAAAGCTCTTAACAAAATAAAGGTCTTAATTAACACTGTTAAATTAAATACTTTTATCTTTTTTAACTGCAATTTTTTAGACTATACATAGCAAACAGGCAGGATGCTGAAACCTGTGACCTTCTCTGCCACAATTACAAGGAGATTTTGTCTTTCAAAACATATTCTGATCTCTGAATAATAGTTACCAAAAATACAACACAAACAATTTCATTCAATTATATGAAATGCAATGAAGCCATGAGGCAGTTAAATATGTCTAGACAGCTTCTCAATATAAGCATTTTCTAGATTTTTTTTTTACAAATTTCGTTTTTCCTATAGCCAAAATAATGCTAACATTCGAAAGCAATTAATGAGAAAATTTGCAGAGAAAACAATAACATACATTCAAGTACCACTGAAATCACTGGAGCAGATAATTCTTTTTTTTTTTCCCCCAAACAACAGAATGAAAGACTTTTTTTTTTTTTCAGTTAGCATATGTGCAGCTTTTGCACAACAGATCTCAGACCCTGCACTTCCTACTCATGCAGGAATAAAAAAAATGGGACTACTTTGTGAGCTAATAATTCTTTAAACAGAGCAAAGTTCTTAAATGAAAAGGATCAGCTTTACATTTGTGGTTATGTTATTTCATAATCCATCAGGAAAGTCAGCCAGGTAGCTCATCCCACATAAGCCAAGTTTAAATTTATCATTTGCTTTAAACTCCTACAAATCAAATGCCTAGCAAAATATCTTCCTTAATGTGCAAGGCAACTATTTTTAAGCTTGAGAGTAAATACACAGACTTGTACAGGACATCAAGCCAGAAATCTAATTAATACTGTTAATATGAAGCCCATTTTAAGAGTAAAGTTTCTACAGGAGACATAAATTGTCTGGTAACAAAGCCAAGGCACACTGGAGCCCCTCACTAACAAGTTGAGGAGTCCAAGCCTATTCTATCCACATCCTTCATCCTTTCACATTTGGCAGTGAATGTGAAGTACACAACATAATTTAGCATACAAAAATGTTTATGAAATCCTTTAAGAAAGTTTCCATTTAATTGCCCCATTACAGATGAAGATGGAAAAGACAGGAAGCTTTCCATTCCCAATACATGACTTTCCATGCATGAAGTGAGCTGAAAGCACAAAAAGAAAAGCCCTGCAAACCATAAGAGCAGCATGTTCATTAACCTCTACATGATAATCCTTTCGTAGCTGCATATTAACTAGTTACATATTCATAATCATTTACATTATTTAGAGGACCTTCTATGAAAATTTCCAGGCTATATCCATTAGCCACAATGTTAAAGGTTGCAGAAGATAGTCTACTTAATGTTTCCAGGAAGCTTTTTTAATTAGTAAATATGTAAATTGGGCACATATGCTTTTTATGTTTTTAAGAAACAGTCCATCAGCAAAACAGCATAGGGGCATATGCTGTTTCCATCACCCTTTATCCCCCTTAAAAAAATAAATAAAAAAGAGAAAAATCAATAACACCAATCAATTTTAATTTAATTCTTCTTCTTTGATATAATCTCTCTTGAAGGGATACCAAAGGGTGGAACCAACAACAAACCTTTTCATTTCAGTGGCCAGCATAAAATGAGACCTTTTACAGAAGTGCTAAAATATACCACCTTAAAAATGTTGCAGGCAGCACTTCTGGAACTGAAGTCTAATAAAGAATAGAGAGAATAAATATTGAAAAACAGATGGAGATCAATTATGCATATGACCTTTATTAGGTCAGTCTCACTGTTTGGATAACAACTGGTCTTATCAAAGCAAAGAAACAAATAGATAAATATATAAACAAATCTTTGATTTTTTGCCTTTAATCAAACACAGGAAAATCATTAGTCTATCTTCCACACATAATTTATATCAAGAGTTACAATTAAAGAATGAAAAACCCTTTTAGGGTAAATAAAATAAATGATCTGCTTGTTTATCCACTTGAGTTCAATTTACCTGGACAGCTAGTGCCACCAAGTATGCTTTACTTTTAAGGCATCATAGGGAAGCAGTATCAACAAACTCTGAATTCTCTCCTTTTAGGCATAAAAATGTATGAGTTTGTGAATGCACATGGTTATCAGTGGCTTATCTGCATACTAAAATATTTATTAAACTACTCTTGCAGCAGACTTAACATTACCTAATCATGGGTCTGGTTATTAAAATAGGATCCACTGTCAGAAAACATATTCCATAGTCTTAAAAGAAAGCAAACAGGCAAATATCTTGTTTCCTTCCCTTTCACCAATAGCCAGTTGTTAAAATGCAGGGTTTCTCAAGCCCCTGACCCACCAGAACCACACCTGGGAGCTCCACTGCAGCCCCTGGGGACAGGGGAGGCACAAATCCCTGCTGGATTAAACCCAAACCCTTGCAGCAGATGATGTGCTTGCTCTGCTCTCACTGCTACGTGCCTGAGCTATTTCTGGGGCTGCCTGTGTTCCTGCTTTTAGGGAATCCCTCGTTTGTAGGTGTCACAAGCAGAGCACGAGGATCAGCTTTAGAGCTGTGCTCACGTCCCAGATGTCCCCAGGTGTCCCCAGGTGTCCCCAGCTCCACCTCAGCAGTGTGATCCCAGGGCAGACTGCAGGCTAATGACTCCAAATCACCCCCAGCAGCTCCTCATCCAGCCAAGGACTTCATCAGCTGAGCAAAGACAGGGAATTCCTTCTCTCTGCAACACATTCTCCCTTCTCTATCTATTTATACACTGCCTTCTCCATCATCTTGCATTCAAAGAGTTCAAAATCTCCTCCATGAATTCAAGTGAGCAGCACTTTGAAAAAGCAGTGCACTGATTCTGCAGGCTGAGTTACAACCACTGACTGCTCAGGGCTGGCAAGGGAAGCCAGAGCTCCTAACTCAGCAGCCACAGTCACTTCAGTCACTTCACAGGCTCTACAGTCACTTCCAACACTTCCCTGGCAATGAGCACAGGTGAAAAGGATGCTGCAGCACAAAGCAGATCCTTACCTGTATGTGCCATGGGTCTCCAACCTATTCCACATCACCCCAGCAGGTTTTCACCCTCCTGTACAAGGGCACTTCCTTCCTGCATCTTATTTTTTCCTGATCTGTTACTTCTGCAGGTGCTCCCATTACTAACAGCTGAATATAATATTCTCTGTGGTGCTTCTGATTAACAAAGTGGTGGCACAAAGTGGTCTCTTCTTATTGAGGTACTTCACCAAGGTGGGGGGCATGCAAGTGAATGTTTCTCCCTACTGAGCAGCTGGACACTGCCTACAGAGGTGCTGGGTTCAGCACACAGAGGATAATTCTCTCTCATCCCTTCTGAGCAGTAAAACAAGCTGCCAAGTCAGAACCTTATTTGTCTCATTTCAAATTGTGAAAATTTTAAGTAACAGAGCTGGTCCTGGTATCACCTGCAGGCAGTTTGGGGCACCAATGCTGAACCTGCTCTATGTGAGTTGTGCAGTTATGTTCAAGTCCAGAGAATTAGAAGCTTTTAAGTTTCTGAGATGGAAGTTAAATTCAATGAAAATTATGAAAATAAAAATGTTGCATCAGATTAGGAAGAGGTCCTAAATGAATGAGAGGCCATTTCCACACTTGCAAGTATGAAGGTGGAAATGTGAAGCACGGCACAAAAGCAAAGTTTCCATTTAAACAAGTTGCAAGTTAGGCCAAACAAATGTCTGCTGGTTCTACATGCACACTTGAGCACTTTGCTTCAGAACTGTGACTGACAATCTGGCTGGTCTTCTGAAATTAGAAGCTGAGGACACAGATCTAATCCCAGCTCTGATTCTGTTCTTCTATATGGCCTTGAGCAAATCACAACCTCTCAGTCTACATTTCTTCATCTGCAAAATGGGGATAATAGTATTAACCTACCCACCTCAGAGTGTTTAATGATGATTAATTAATGTGAGAAAAGCACTCTAAAGATGTAAGAGCACTATATAAGTGATAAAGCATTATTTACCACTTGAAAAGTAATCTGAATAAAATCAGATATGCAAGTAATTTGTTTACATGTAGCAATAATATAATTTGTGACTATTTAATCTTGAATTAGTCTCACTTTAAACATCCCTTTCAATCACATTTCCAGTTACTTAGGGAAAAATGACAGTATGGAATACTTTTTGTGGAAGCAAAGGAAGTAATGAGGTGGTAATTAAAGTAAGGGTCTAATAAAGTCTAAAACCAATGACTTGCCTTCAGGAGACTGTCCCTGCCATTTGGGATTGTAAAAATATCTCTGTTTCAATCTAGGTCCTGTTGTTCAGAACCTTCCACCAGTGTATGCTGG